CAAACAGTCTACTGCTTTTGGAAGCTCCCCAGAAGTTCCAATGATATTTAAATCATTAACATACACGGCGATTATAACAAATTCAGATCTAGACCTTTTTATAAAGACACAAGGACAAATTGGATCATTTTTGTACCCTTCTTTCAACAAATATTCACTCAGGCGATTGTACCACATACGACCTGATTGTTTCAATCCGTATAAAGATTTCTGAAGCTTTATTGAACAAGTTTCACGAGAACTTTTATGTGCTTCTGGCACTTTAAATCTCTCAGGTATTTTCATAAAAATTTCATTGTCTAATGATCCATACAAATAGGTTGTGACAACATCCACTAGACGCATATCAAGTTTTTCATGCACTGCCATATTTATGAGATACCTGAAGGTAATAGCATCCACTACAGGAGAATATGTCTCCATATAATCAATGCTAGGCCTTTGCGAAAACCCTTGTGCCACAGTCGTGCTTTATATCTAACGACTTCATTTTTATCATTTCGTTTTCGCACAAAAACCCATTTGTACCCTACTAGCTTTATACCTTCAGGTGTTCGAACTATGGGTCCAAAGACTTCACGTTTTTCAAGTGAAGTTAACTCTGCCTGGATAGTGTCTTTCCATTTTGGCCAATCATTTTTCTGTCTACATTCATCGACAGATTTTGGTTCAAGATCCTCATCTTGTTGCATTATTTCAACAGCAACATTATAAGCAAAAATGTTATCGATAACAATATCATTTCGGTTCCATCTTTTTCCCGTTGAGACGTAACTTATTGATATCTCTTCATTGTCATTATTTTCAGTTACCTGGACCTCCCCTAAGGTCTTATCTTTTGTTACGTCTTGGGGATCTTCTTGAACCACTACCTCTGTGTTATGATCACTTTGATCATTTGCTCCTTTTCTTCTTCGAGGATTTTTATCTTTAGAACCGATTGGTTTACCACGTTTCAAGCGTGGCATAGACTCATTTGCTTTAATTGATTGTCCTACCGGGACGTCAACTCGAATTGGAGCATTAGCAGCTGGAATATGTGACTTAGTCACACTTGGTATGTCAGTGAATGCATCTGGCAATTGATTTGCAATATTTTGCAAATGAATAATCTTTTGAACCTTTTGTTCACATTGATTTGTTCGAGGATCTAAATGAGACAGTAATAATGCATTCCGATCTATCTCCTTTTTTAGCTGCTTATTTCTCCCCCCTAATGTTGGGTATACTGATTCATCAAAATGGCAATCAGAAAATCTTTTCGTAAATAAATCTCCAGTCATCGGCTCTAGATATTTCATAATAGAAGGAGATTCATATCCAACGTATATCCCCAACCTTCTTTGGAGACCCATCTTTGTGCGTTGTGGTAAAGCAATCAGGACATATATCGCACAACCAAAGATTCTAAGATGGGAAATATTTGGCTCCTGACCAAAAGCCAATTGCAATGGGGAGACTTTATGATAACTTGTGGGCTTTATCCGCACAAGTGCTGCTACATGCAAAATAGCATGTCCCCATACTGAAATGGGAAGTTTTGTTCTCGTAAGCATTGGTCTAGCAATTAATTGGAGGCATTTGATCAATGATCCGCTAGACCATTTTGTGTATGGACATGAGCAACCGGATGCTCAATTGTTATCCCAGTTGATATACAATAATCATTAAAGGCTTGGAATGTAAACTCACCGGCATTATCAAGACGAATTGTCTTAATTGCATAATCTGGAAATTGTGCTCTTAGCTTTATTATTTGAGCCAACAATCTCGCAAATGCCATATTACGAGTTTATAGTAAGCACACATGTGACCATCTCGTAGATGCATCTACCAAAATCATATAATATCTGAATGGTCCACATAGAGGGTGAATGGGCCCGCATATATCACCATGTATACGTTCCACAAATGCAGGGGACTCCATCCTAACTTTAATAGTTGATGGTCTAATAATTAATTTGCCTTGAGAACATGCAGCACAAGAGAATTCCTTAAATTGAAGAATCTTCTGGCTTTTCATTGAATGTCCATGTGAATTCTCAATTATTTTACGCATCATATTAGAACCAGGATGGTCCAACCGGTCATGCCAAATAATAAAATTATCTTGATTAGTAAATTTTTCATTTACTACGGCATCTGTTTCAATCCTGCTAATACTTGTGTAGTATAAGCCGGAGGAAAGAGCATGTAACATTTCAAGCACATATTTCTTACCAGACATTATTGTAGTAATATAAAGATATTCAATCTTTTCATTATTTGTAGTCTCAATATGGTAGCCATTTTGGCGAATATCTTTGAAACTTAATAAGTTTCTTTGAGATTTACTACAATATAGTGCTTAATCTTAATAGCCAAATTTGTTCCTCCTGGTAGTAATAAATTGGCTCTTCCAGAACCTTCAATTAATCTTGTACTACCGGATATTGTATTAACATTGGCTGCTTTCATTACCAAATAAGAGAAATATCTCTTATCTCTTAAAATAGTATGCTTTGTAGCACTATCCAGAAGACATATATCATCCTTATTAATCTTGAGTCCAACTGAAGACTGGGGAATTTTCATATTCTTCATAAAAAAAAAATCAAAAAGTACATCATAAGAAATATGAAGACAAACAGAAAAGAACATTGTGAAATACATTAGGAATGTAGAAACTAGCAATACATGATGCATTAGGAAAATACACTCAAGAAAAATAAACTAATTGCAAACATAAAAAAAATGACAACTTTTATTATAGCTTCATTCCCCAATAAGATGATTAGTTCTTCAGTCAATATCCTCAAAGAAGTCTCCAGCTTCTAAATGAGTAATATTTGATAGGCCTCCAAAATCATCATCTTTATACGCAAGATGTGCCTCGGAATCATATTTGTTTGAGGGACCTGCTTCATCATCATTATTTTGAAAGGTCAAGTGTGCCTCCACATTATTTTCTTTCTTTCTGAGGGAGGCTTGGTAAAGTTTGACAAAATGATCTAGCGTACGACAAATGCGTGCCCAATGACCTTTCATACCACATCGGTGACACATACTAATTTTACCCTTTGAAGGATTAATTTGAGAATCCTTATTGTTCTCCGATTTATTTTCACCATAATGACGATAATAGTTTCGTCCCCTGCCACGTCCACGTCTACGACCATGTCCACGACCACGGTAATTATTTTTTTTCTTTCAAACTTATCATATGTTGCTATAGCATTCACTTCCGGGAATGGAGCTGACCCAGTGGGACGGGCTTCATGATTTTTCATTAATAGAGTATTATTCTGCTCTGCCACAAGTAGGCATGTGATTAACTCAGAATATTTCTTAAAACCCTTTTCACGGTATTGCTGTTGTAGCACCACGTTTGAAGCGTGAAAAGTAGAAAATATTTTTCCAATAAGTCCTCGTCTGTGATAGTGTCTCCATATAATTTTAATAGAGAACTTACTTTAAAGATAGCAGAATTATACCCACTTACGATTTTAAAGTCTTGCAACCTTAAATGTATTCACTTATACCGAGATTTCGGTAATACCGTAAGTTTTAGGTGGTCATATCGGTCCTTCAAATTAGTCCATAATTCGAGTGGATCTTTTACGGTTAAATAGCTTTTAACCCTTCATGTAGATGATGACGAAGGAAAATCATGGCCTTCGCTTTATCCTGATTTGACGCTTCATTTCCTTGTATAATAGTATTTCCAAGACCTTTAGCGTCAAGGTGAATTTCAGCATCAAGGACCCATGATAAATAGTTCTTCCCGGTGATGTCAAGTGCCACAAATTCAAGTTTTGATAAATCTGACATAGTGAATACTATCATAAAAGATAAATAATTTAGAGAAATAATTATATTAATAAACAATTAGTGAAACAAAAAAGAGTAGGGGAAAAAGAAACGGTAATAAAGCTATATCATGTAAACAACCTACTATTTTCTTTTATTCTGGCCATAAATTGAAAATAACATACTGTTTCATTTCACTTTATATTATTGATATATATATATATGTGTTAAAAGAATTGAACGTGACTAACATTATTTATATGTTCCAATCCAATAAATATAAAGTAATTAAACTAATGTGAAATTATTACTTGTCAATTCATTTCTCATAGTTCTTCAAAATGCCTTAAAGATATATTTTGATTCAGGAAGTCCATGAATATTATAAGTATGTCATTAGTGGGTAGCTAGTTTGATGACTTTGAGGTCATCTAAGAGTTGAGCACCGAAGGAAATAGTTAGTTTATCACTGCAATGTACTTGAATTATTTAAGATGCCCAAGAGTCTGCAAACAGTGAGCATAAGATAAGTACTGCCATAACCAAAATGAATATAATGATACATACCTTAATAAAATATGGCTCAACTTAGCGGGGGTTAAGGATAAAATTAGAGCTTTGTGCTGATAACGTGTTATAAAATAAAAGCAATACAGTAAAATATAAATAAGAAGAGATAGAAAGAAGGAAGAAGTCTTTTCTTCTTTCACTTTTGTGTGTCTTCAATTAAAATTTACATAGCCTTTTATAGGCATAAAATGAGAAGACTTACTATTGTAAATAGTGAATGGGATGGACATAAAGCAGGAGATTTCATCCATAAGCTATTTACATACATGGGCACCCATATCTACAAACTATTCATAGCAATTACTTATTTGATGAAATCCTATAACTTTCACTTGGATCTTAGGTTATAAACTAGACTAAGTGCTCGAGACTAATGTTTTGGGTATTCAACGCAAGCCCCTTGAAGGATATTTTTCTTTGCAGAGCCTCATCACATGCTCTAATTGCAAGGTGTTACCATTTCAGTGTAATTTCTGGGGTACAAGCTAGAGTTGTCTGGTAAGAACTAACCATTTTCAATTAAAATCAACTGTTCGAGTGCGGTACATAAAATATTCAATATGAACACTGTGAAAGCCTAGATAAACCATCAATAATTTAAGCTGAATCCAACAATTCTAACTTTGACGAATTCACCAACACAACCACAATAACAGAGTTCAGATCATACACTTCCCCCATTACTATTTCCTCCCCTAAGACGAGGAATACCCATTATGCGAGCTCACTAAACAGGTCATAGTAAAATGAGACCGCGACAACCTGATAACTAATAATCAAGTCAATTATGCATTTGGACTTGTTACACTGATTATCAGGAGAAAGACATAGTGCTCAAATAAGCAGTAACAAAAAAAATGAAAAATGGAGTACAGCATTATTGTCCAGTCAAGAGTCCATCTCATTATACCATCGAAAGAGTAATGGTTCACTGATATTATACAAAAGTCACCACCCCAGATTCTTCAATGTACTACTCTTCAGCAGCACGCTTCGACAAACATTATGAGAGGGGAATATGAACTATTTGTGTACTTAAACGATATGGATACAGAGAATCTAGGAGAACAAATACAGGTGCACTGGCAGTGTCTCTGTGCGTTGTTAGCGTTTCACCCAAATTCAGACATGTAGATGCAAGCACGCAAGAAGAAACAGTTTAGCTCGATTTCCTGCCCATATGAAAAGTGCATTCAACTTGAAAGCATTTACTTCAAGTAACCACTAAACGCGATACTAATCCATACCTTTCTTCCTGATTTCTTGCACAAATCAGAGTTCTTTATTCAAGTACCATAAATAGCACTGGCCTCTATTCTACTGTATCCAGTGAGCACTATTTCTACGTCAAAGGTGGAACCCCGGTCAGTCGCTGTCCCAAGTTTCATCCAAGTCCTTTGAGCTTTTCACCTTTGTCTTGCTCTCGGAAGTACCCTCATTTTTCTTCATCTGCTCTTGACTACTTGTCCTAAAGCTATTAGTTGCCCCTCTTGATGCCCTTGAACCAGGTGCATCTTCTGCACTTGATCCCAATGTTGCTACCTTATCATAATCCTCCCCCTCGTCACTACTACTTCTATACTCACTTGGTAGCATTGAGTGCTGCCCTCCCTCATCATCTGAATTCCACATGGCTTCCTCAAGGTCACTTAACATGTCTGAACCAGAACCTTCTGTACCCATCTTTCCCTTTAAATAAGGATCAAAATTTCTGCTTGAACCTCCCTCACTTATAGGTCTACTGCTCTTACCCTTCTGCCATTTCTCCGTTTTATACTTAGGATGCCTGTCAGGAGCCTTGTACATGCCGGAATCAGCGTAATTGCTTCTACCTCGTCGGTCATCATTGTTATCCAATTCATTGTCATCTTCAGATACATCATCATGTCCATCATCATCAGCTATCTTCCTTCCGTAAGTCTTATTCCAGCCACTTGTCCTCCCTCCTGACTCATCATCTGATTCATCACTTCCCATCATTCCAGATCTTCTGAATCGACTACCTATATCTTCTTTGTTCCAATATCTAATCTTCCCTACTTCGTCTTTCTCTGCTTCTTCCTCAGCTGCCCATTCGTCATCAGCTGCCTGTTCTATCTGAGCAATAAAACGGTCAAGTTCTTCCTGGTCACTGTCTTCAGCTGTTGATTGTGTTTGGTCTATACTACTGCTGAGACCCAACTTAGTACCAGTATCCTCCTGAAAGACATATGGGCTTCCTTCTTTCTTATCAATGGCATTGAAGAATGTGGATGCTACTCTCTGGATGCTGGCCCTGGCTGCTGGATCATCAGGATTTATCCCCTTCCTCCGGAGCTCTTGTTCTATTTTCTTTATGTTTAATTTCTGTGATTCCAGTGCTTGTTCGAATCGGGCTTTAAATAATGCCTACATGGAAGAGATAACTTTGTCAAACAGTAGATGTGTACTCATCAATAGTAACATGTTCAAATTTCCAGCGTTGTTAAGCAAGTTACAGAAAAGCTAGTTCATTACATACAATAGGAATTAAAAGAGTCCAGAATCTTAGTCCCTATATTCAACACAAATTCCAAAATATCGATGGTTCAAGATATTTTCAACAGATGAGACATGCCGTATACCCATTCTTCGGGACCAGGAGTACATGTCGAAGACTCATAGCACCCAGGGAGTTTTACATCACATAGATGTATGAAACACAGACAGAAGCTAGGTTCCCTCAAGCAAATACAAAATTAAGGGGTTAACAGAAACATATAACAATTCATCAACTTGTAAAGTTACCACTAGGATTTACATAAGCAGTGGATTACTCAAAAGAGATTTGTAGCTCACCTTCCTTTTTGTAAGTGTGTTGATAGGTATTAAATTCTTAGGCTGGCGGTAGTTTCTGCCGCGAAACATAATAATGGTTTTTACATTGTGTATGTTAACCACAATACCACCACTTAGTCGAGCGAGCATTGAGGCCATCTCTTTAATTTTTTCCTTAGGGAAGTTATCACAACAAACTTGCACAGTCTCATGGAACTTCCAGTGGAGATGCATATTTTGGACAACTCCACCGAAGACTCCACGAACACCAACAGGAACATAATTTTTATTCCTGAAACCAATCTTCTTATACGCTTGCAGTTGCTCAGGAGTCAGAAGCTCAGGATCATGCCGTGGAGATGGCAACTCTGGTAGCTCATATTTCTTCAGCTTCTGAAGTAGCAAAGCAACTTTTTTCTTTGCTCTACGGAGATTATAAATTAACCGTTCTTCATCAGTCATCAGCTTCAATTTCAACTTCTTTGACCTCCGAATCTCCCTTAGGGTTTTGCTTGACTCATTCTGCATTCTCATTGCTACTCTACTCCTCATGCTCTTCCCCGACATCCACCGCACTCCACCACTGCAATTCCACACATTAACTTCCATATTTTTGACCGTCGTCGTATTTTCACTGCTTGAAATCATATTCACCATATCGTATCTCCGCAGAATCGCATTCCTATAGTAAAAAAAAAAAAGTTAAATTTATCTAAACTTAACTAACAAAATTAGAAAAAGAAGAGAGAGGAAATATACTGCAAGGAGCGCCGTTGAATGTATCTGGAAACGAACATGACGGCGATAATGTAGAAATCGGTCACTGAGCTTCTAGTTTCATTTTACCGTCTTTAGAGGAGCGAATGTCAATGGCGCATAGGGTTCTTTGAACAGAGGTTTAAGTTTCAGTTTCACTCTGGGGACGATGGGATTAATTTGGGGGAAGAAGAACAATAGAATATAACTGGGTTACAAAAGTTACACTCCTTTAACCTAAGTTGAAGGGATATTTTATGTTTTTGTTTCCTTTTCTTTTTTTCTTTTTTTTTTTTTTTTTTTTTTTTTTTTTTTTTTTTTTTTTTTTTTTTGCACTCAAGGGATATTTTATTTTAGTATTATAAATATTGTTATGTACTTATTTTTTCTTGGCAAAATACCTTAAACCACCTCTAAACTTGGCTCAGATTATTAGTATCCTCCCCGAACTATGCCCGGTCTTAATTACCCCCTCNAATCTGACATAGTGAATACTATCATAAAAGATAAATAATTTAGAGAAATAATTATATTAATAAACAATTAGTGAAACAAAAAAGAGTAGGGGAAAAAGAAACGGTAATAAAGCTATATCATGTAAACAACCTACTATTTTCTTTTATTCTGGCCATAAATTGAAAATAACATACTGTTTCATTTCACTTTATATTATTGATATATATATATATGTGTTAAAAGAATTGAACGTGACTAACATTATTTATATGCTCCAATCCAATAAATATAAAGTAATTAAACTAATGTGAAATTATTACTTGTCAATTCATTTCTCATAGTTCTTCAAAATGCCTTAAAGATATATTTTGATTCAGGAAGTCCATGAATATTATAAGTATGTCATTAGTGGGTAGCTAGTTTGATGACTTTGAGGTCATCTAAGAGTTGAGCACCGAAGGAAATAGTTAGTTTATCACTGCAATGTACTTGAATTATTTAAGATGCCCAAGAGTCTGCAAACAGTGAGCATAAGATAAGTACTGCCATACCAAAATGAATATAATGATACATACCTTAATAAAATATGGCTCAACTTAGCGGGGGTTAAGGATAAAATTAGAGCTTTGTGCTGATACGTGTTATAAAATAAAAGCAATACAGTAAAATATAAATAAGAAGAGATAGAAAGAAGGAAAAAGTCTTTACTTCTTTCACTTTTGTGTGTCTTTAATTAAAATTTCATTAGCCTTTTAGAGTACTATAAATGAGTAAGACTTACTATGTAAATAGTAGATAGGGATGGACAGTAAGCAGGGTAGAGTTTACATACCGATAAAGCTTAATTTAACACTTAACGATCGGGGTACACCCCTAAAGTACTACGTAACCCTAAACGTTAACTTCTAACGTTAATCCTAAATTTTACCGTTTAATTTTTGAATTTACGGTAAAAATTCCCCTTAAAATTTAAACCTTTTACCTTAAACCGTTTACGGGTTAATACCGTTTTTAAAACGGGTTATTTAAAAAAACCGTTTTCGTAAAACCNTAAATCTTTATTTTCAGGTCAATTTCAAAAAATGATTAACTAAAACTTTATTATTTTGGCCAAATAAAAATATTTAACCTAAATAATGTATTTCTATCCAAGTTTTATTATAAATTGTATTCGAAAAAAATTATCTCAAAAAGTAATATTCTTAAAACGGTAAAAATATATTTTATTTTTCAAAAAAATGTCACATACAGAAAAATCCACGTGGCAGGTGAGTGCACCCAGACTTTTTGCCACATCAGCGTCTAGGGAGGTAATGTCTCTCAAAAGGCCAAGTTGAGGGGGTAATTAAGACCGGGCATAGTTCGGGAAGGATACTAATAATCTAAGCCAAGTTTAGGGGTGGTTTAAGATATTTTGCCTTTTTTCTTTACACTAATTAATATATTACTTATCCTATCCTTCTTTTATTTATTAATTTTACTAAGTGTTTTGCTCCATGCAATTTTTTATTTATTAATTTTGCTAAATATTTTATTTATTTATTGCACTCTTTTAAAATTAATATTTTCTGGAGATGGCACTTGTCATCCTATCCTTAAATTTTGCTAAGTATTTTATTTTATTTTTTTAAATTAAGACTTTTCTTGTGATGACACTTCATCACTAATTATAATATAGATATAGTTGAGTAACAGGTATCTCCATGTGTTGATCCAAAACTGACAAAACACTTAACCAAGGAGTGTTATTGCAAAAATGTACTGCCAAATAAGTATATGACAATGTGGAGATAACATGATAAGCAACAGGAAATAATATAGGCCATCGTCTTACACTTTCACTAGGAAAAAGAAAGTTGAACACAATAGCAACTGTAGTTATTTGCGGACAAAAAAGTTCAACATCAAATCACCTGTCAAAAACTTCAAGCCTCTCCATACCGTCCAGAAAATATCTTAGTCAAGAAATGCTTGAGCTCATAATAAATAAAAACTCCAATACACATTAGGTAAAAGTCACAAAAAAGGTAAATAGCAAATTGAATTTCTTGAACCAAAATGCCGAGGATGCAAGACTCCGGTATAAGCCACTGCACGACTCAACCCATTCACCGCCTAGAAGCCGGCCAACTGGTCCTCGAGCCACTACCAAATGGAGACGGCTTTCGTTCATCGCGCCATGATGGTCGATCATCTGGCTTACTTCCACCGCCCCACTTGTCAGTTTCAGGAGGTGGAGCCTGGCCTGCACCATCCATTTTCGCTCGTAAGTGCCTAGGAACATATTTCCCAGGGCCAGGAGTAGGTGCAGTAGCTGCTGCAGCAGGAATTGGAGCAGCTCCGCCAAGTTCTGCGGGACGCCCCAAGGTTGGAGGCTCAGCAGGCTTTGACAGCACAGCAGTGGACCTACGCAAGATCTCTTCTCTCTCCCGTTTTTCTTTCTCTTCAAGTTCTAGCATTCGTCGCCTCTGCTTTTCTGCAATCTCATCTAACTTGGCTTGCCGCTCAGCTTCCTCTTTCTTCCGTCTCTCTGCCTCTGCAAAATTTTCAGAAAGTTGCCATAGGATGCTAAATTAATTTTGAGTAGCTACTGAACCTCAACTGCAGGCAGGGGGTAAAAAGAAAGGAGCGAGGGAAAAAGAACTTAAAAAGGACAGTTTATAAGTTCAGAATGGTCGAGTACATGCTATAGTGATAAGAGTGTAGCAGAGTATCCAAAACCCAAAAAAATACATGTCGGAGAAACAGAAGCATGAACTCTTTGGTTGGACACACCTCGATAAATGCCCACCCGGCCCCCTTAACCCTAAAAGATTTGAATGCACATGACGTGGGTGGGGAATTAACCAGCAAAGTACCTTCACGTTTGCGGGCTTCCTCCTCTTCCTGCAACCTCTTTTGTCGCTCCTCCTCAGATCGCAGGAAGAATATCATTTTCCTCCTAGCTTCCCTCTCCTGCTTCCTTGATTGAATTATCTGGCTGATCCTTTCCTGTCTCTCCCGTTTCATTCTAGTGAATTCAGCTTCTCGGCTACTGACAACTTTTTCTTGCAAAATTCTCTGCATGATTAGGAATATATATCAGCTAATCTATGCATTAGCATGAATCAATGCAGCCTACGTCAACCACCTACTTTGTCAGAGACCAAGACCAGTCTTCAGCAAGCCGATGGCTGCTCAGATTTTAACTAGTTCCACAAAATAGTAAGCATATATCGGAGACAATTTCGTCATTGCTGGCTACTGTGATATGCCAATGTATTCATAACAGAAAGAACTGCTGCAAAGGATTTTGAACTTCCCTTCTTTTTATTTTCAAACAAGGCCATTATACAAGAAACTAGACAGAAGGCAGAAAAAAGGATAAAACAACTGTTTCTATTACCATTAGCTTCACAGCTCAAAGATTAAAGTAGCCTAAGATTCCAACTTTGGTCCTACATCAGTTCCATTTAGACCCAATAAACTATCAATAGCACTGACCCAACTTTACATCGAACAGTTCAGTTATATCATCAAAAGCTTGTATATCTAGCAGTTCAATGAATTCATAGAAGTCGGATAAACTGACCTTGTTCTCCAACATGCGTCCCAGCCTCCTTTTCTCTTCCAAGTCTCCAGCATGTCGTTGTCTGCTCAGCTCAATCTCTTGCTGAAAACATATTAAAACGCAAGGTCAATTCATCAGCAATATTTCAACGAAAGAGGTAGAAGGTTAAAAGATAACATATCACTTTCTTAAGAGAAATGTGAAAGAAATTTTTTTCATGAACACTTGGCTGCCACAAGCTAGTTATCCCTGTGGTAAAAATGTGAAAGTACTTGTTATTGTGGGAGGGCAAAAAGCATAATGTGTCTTTAATGCAAACCTGCTGCTCGCGTTCATGAAGAGCTGCCTCTTCAGCTAAACGTTGTTTAAATGCAGATTCAATAAGAGGTGCAGCTTCTTCTCTCTTAGCTCTCTCCAGATGATCCATAGTTTTAGCAAATTTGAGCAACTTCTTTTCCATTTCTTGCCTCTCTCTCAGTTGCTCATTCAGCGCCAATTCCATAATCACCTGTTTGGTCATCTTTTCCTGAAATCAAATTAATGCCGGGCAAGATTTTCCAATTGAAAGTTTTTGGGAATAGAAGTACAAGTTATATACTTACTCCCTCTAGGACTGGCTTCTTCTTCCTCTTGCTGCGCTTTTCAGCTTCGTGCAGCAAAGCTTGGGCCTCTTCAAGTTCTCGGTCCTCTATCTCCTTCAAAATTCGTTGGTTCCTTCTTTGCTCATACTCGGCAGCAATGCGCTTTTGCTCAGCCTCTTCAGTCATCTTTTGTAGCTCTCGCCTCTTTGTTTCCTCCACTCGTTCCTTAAAAGAAATGGTCGTAAAAGTTCATACGCAATAACAACAATAACAAGCAATTCACAACACCGCCAAGAATTTCATACCATTTCTAAGAGTAAACGCTCTTGCTCCTCTTTGCGTTTCTCAATAATGGACTTCCGGGCAAGAAGTCTCTTGTGCTCCTTCTCCACTATCTCTGCTAAATTAGACAGTGCTTCCCCAAGCTTGGCAGCCTTCTTTGCTGGGGGATAAATCATTGTCCTTGCCTTGCTAAGGGATTCAGCCAAAAGTGACAGATGATCCCGGAGTCCTTCCGCCTCAATACTCTGGAAACAAAATTATAAGCAAATGATGTATGATAAACTAGCCTACACGGCTTAATGGGGGGAAATCAAAACCCTGTAGTTCAAAGTGT